CACGGGGAGTCTAATGGTGGTCTTTGTTTTGCGCTACGAGGTCTAGAATTGCTAAAAATTGAGTTTGAAAATTTGACGTCATCAATTTTGAACAGTTTTTTCGCTATAACTTGGCCAAAAACAGAGGTATCGATCTCAAATTTGGTATGTAGATAGAAGGCGGTAGGGGCTATCACATATATTCCGGTTTTTTTCGAAATTAACCCTCGCCCATGTAGGGGGGGGGTTGGTGCAACCCCCCCTGAGGTTTTTCGGAAATAGTGCAAAAACGGCGGCGCGCAGCGCCGCCAAATTTTGGGTACCTTATGGGGCAAACCTTGCGCATCTTTTGATAAAAAAAATTGACCGGGTCATGTCAGGTCACGGAGTTATGACGTCACAAAGGGAACAGCCTCCGGCCGGATTTTCACAAACTGAGTGCCAACGCCCGAGGTTTCCTGCCGGTGGTACGGACATCGGTTGATGGATCGTGATGAAACTTCCCATGCATGTTGGGGCAAGTATTGGCTATCATATGGTATAAGAAACTTGACCGGGTCAGGTCAGGTCACGGAGCTATGACGTCACAAGAGGAACAGCGTCCGGTACTATTTTTGAAAAGCGCCCGAACCACTATTTTGCTAATTCTTGTCACCTCAATGGGAATATGCAGCAATATTAGCTTCTATAGGGAGCAAATGGACCTCCCAAATCCAAAAATACAATCAGATTTCAAAAATTTAAATTTTGATTTTTCGAATTTCTGCCGCCGACTGTGACCTTGCCGACTTCCGGCGCTCCCAACGCGCCATTTTTAGAGCTAGGGAAACGAAATACATACCAAACGATAGAGAATTGATCAAGGAACACGATAGTGAAGGTTTCAAGTCGATATCTCCCACCGTGTTGCCGCAATCGCCGCGGAAAGTTGAAAAAAGTCTATTTTTCCGAAAATTTGACCTTTGACCGGTCAAAAGTAGGTCAAATGTTGACCTAGGACCAAAAAATATACCACCAATCGCGAGATCTCGGCGAGAACAATCCTTTGGTCTTTTCCGCTAAGCTCTACGACGCTCCGTTTTCAAACGCCAAGGGGGGGTCGCACCAACCCCCCCCCCCTGCATGGGCGAAGGTGGCAGATCGCCGTTTACGGGCGAGGGTTAAGAAAAACTTTTTGGATTTTTTGGCTATTATATTCAAAAAATCTATTTTTTGATTTTTGGGGGTCAAAATCAAAAAAAATTCGAAAAACCGAAATAGCAGTTTTGTAGCTTTTTTAATTCCACACCTTTTATGTCTAAAACATTTTTCTGTATCTCTAAAGCTGTAGGCCTGACAGCTCTTCCCGCGAAACCTTTTTTGGGTCGAAAATGGCAAAAATGACGTCACTCTGACGTCATTAGCGGCCAACCTATCGTAGCCTTTGGAAAAAATTTTTGGTCACCATGTGCGCTAGCTGCTCCCGGGAGGGTACTGAAAGTTTGGTGACGATCGGCGCAGCGGTTCTCGAGATATATTGAAAAAACTAAAGGGGGGCAAAAAATTGCCCCCCCCCCCACCGCCTGGAAGGTTAAGGCTCGACATTGTGTTGTCTACGATTAGACAGCTGATAACTCATTCCCGTACGTCGTAACTCTAAGTCTATAATGACCTTTGCTTATTGTCACATGTGCGCCGCATTCGCGATTGTTGCCGACGCCTGTTTGCAGCTCAGCCCACTACAGTTGTTATACACATCGAAAAACCGATAAACTTTTAGGCGAAAAAGGCACTATTCCAGGCCCATTTTTGATTTTCTTTGCGATATTAGGTAAAAACAGAAGCTTCTTATCCTAGGAAAAATAAAATGGGAAATCTTTCAAAGGTGGCACACTACCTTTAAAAATCGTTAGATATCTGCGCTGACGTCACACATTCAGAGGGGTATTCCTATGCATTAGCCCCTCTGAATCAAAATGCTGCAATTTTGAAATTCAATATTTCCGATTTAACCCTCGCCCGTATTGGTGTTTTTCCAGCCGCGAACGTATAAGGGGGGGGGGGGGGTCCGTTGGACCCCCCCTTGCCGTTTCGCCCCTGATCGAGCTAGAGCTTCGCGGAAAAAAACGAGCGTGTTGCCCGTGACGAGAGGAAGCCGATGATACCCAATTTTAAGGTCCTAGGTCATTGGTTGACCTTGCAGGTCAGGTCAATAACCCCAAAGGCGGGAAAATCGGGACCTGTTAGAACGTCGTAAAGTGTGGCTGCCATGGGGGTTTTCGGGGTGCTGATCACGAATATTTATCATGTTAGTTTTGATCACAGATGATGTCTTCATGTATTTAGGCCAGGTCGGGTCAGGTCAGGTCAGGTCAACCAGTAAGGGTATTCGTAGTAGGTGGCAGCCGCCTCTGACAGCTTCGTAACATGTTACGAAGGCACCAAAACTACTTCGTAAATGTTCATATGGCTGCTAAATTCGAATTCAGCTCCAAAAACTGGCCTAGAAACATGTAAAACTCAAAAAGTGAACCGAGGTCATCAAAGGTCAATGACCTGACCTGACCTTCAGGTGACCTTGACACCCACCCTAATGCATGGGGGCCACACCATATCACATGTTTGAACGCTTGAAACCACGAAAAGACTGCAAACGCACGGCTAATGCGAGCCGACATACGCCGAATCGCGATTCCAGCCAAACATGGTCTCGAAAAGTAGGTCACATGTCAAAGGTCATTTGGGTCAGGGTCATGATATTTTTAGGGTACGTGTGAAATTGATGAACGCGAGGGTACTGAAAGTTTCGTCGCGATCGGACGCTTTTTTACGCGAGTTATTCGCGAAAAACCATGGGGGGGGGGGGGGTCCGTTCGACCCCCCCCCCCATATACGGGCGAGGGTTAAGGCATTTATCGATGTTGTAAGAGCCGAAACCGGAAATTGTGAGCCAGGGACCCCGTTTTGGCTATCTCAACTCAAATCTAATGTTAAGGTGGGAGGGTCCCTTTAAGCGCACGCTTCCTATCGTCACCTTCATAAATGACGTAGGTCGTAGGTTTACAATTTGGTGGTCTTGTATTGGCAAGTTTATAATGGTCTGTTTTGTGGTTACAACTCTTAAAAATATATGTAATGTTTTCCAATAATAATATTTCTAAATCTATGTGGTATTTGCATTAAAAAAACACGCTTAAATTTAATTGAAACATGTTTTAAATAATTTATCAATCTCCTTCACCATTATCGATATTAAAATATCAGCTGAATGCCGGCGACAAATATTTCCGGCCGAAGTCGGCTGGAATTTTTTTGTTGGTGAAACTCGTGGCTGTGTGGCGGCTATTTTTTTCGGCTGGATATTTCGGCGGCCGGCTGGTATTTTTGGTAAAACTGGCCTCTGGTAAAGGTCAGGTAAAGGTCAGGTCAAATCAGGTCAAATTTCAAAGTTGATATTTTTGCATAAAATGCGTATCGATTCGATGCAGCTCGTCACGGGGAGTTCAATGGTGGTCTTTGTTTTGGGCTACTTGGCCTAGAATTGCAAAAAAAAAAACTGAGTTCAAAAATTTGACGCCATCAATTTTGAAGTTTTTTCGCTATAACTTGGCCAAAAAAGAAGGTATCGATCTAAAATTTGGTGTAGGTACATATATAGAAGAGCGCAGGGAATATCACAAATTTTCTGTTTTTCGAAATTCGAAAAACTTTTGGAGATTGTTTTGCGTTTAAAAAAAATCAGCTGTTTTAATTTGTTGGGGTCAAAATTCAAAAATTTTGAAAATCCGAGATAGCAGTTTTCTAGCGCCGTCTTTTCTCTACATGACCATATAAAGAACTTTGACATTGCTTAGTAACTGTAGCTTTGTGAGCGCTTCAAGATTTCACTTTTTTTGCTCATTTTTGCTCGAACATGACCTCAGTTTGGCCTCAATAACTCCTGACCTAAGGTGACCTAAGTAAGACTGGAAATTTTGTGTGAAGGTGTGAAATTGATGCCCGGTAAGGTACTGAAAATTTGTGCGCGCCGCAGTTTTCTTGCTATTCAGAAAAAAATAGAGGGGGGGGGGGTAAATTGCCCCTCCCCTCCCCAACGGGCCAAGGGTTAAGCGCGCTTTTGTGCCCGACGCAAAGTCTTCTTCATGATTGCTGAAGTCCTTCCTCGCAAGGAACAAAAGGCGCAGGACTGGTGTTATGAGAACCTGTCCTTCTGGGCATACAATATCGGATCTGGAAATAGCCCAGGCCTCAATTCAATAAAAATATCTAGGTGATTCTTCACGAGAACGTCTGAGAACTGCTAGGAGCCACCAGCATCGGTTGCCTCTCACCAGACCTGCTCCAAAAGGCGTGGGCTAAGCTTTGGCCAGCATTGCTTTACATCCTGGTGTCAATCATGCTCGAACGCTTTTGTCAGTGCATCGCACACAAATAAGGATATGTTAATGTACCTATAATCATTAACAGATTAAATCTTCATGTTAACGTCGTTCTTTCCATCGCTACGGAACGGAAACGATTAACGAATGTTTGCGTAGTTACTTTCCACCCTGCATATCAGTCGATCCGTGTCGTCAAGCTGGACGCACCCAAGTTATTTTCGTTACCGTCGCATATATAACCAAACAAATTGTAACAAAAAACTGCTGGAGCGGTTTCTTGACCTGAGATGACCCCGGGGTCACGAGAACTATATCCCCGTTCATTGTGTCATGAACTGTATCCCGATTTTGGAGTATGAAATTCGTAAAAAAAAAGAATTTCCTCCCACTTACTTGCATAAAATTATGGATCATAAATTGAACTGACCTTAGCTCATCGATATCAAAATACCCCGACATTTTATACATACTGTTACACTATTCAATCGCTGAAAGTTTTGAAGCGACCATTCAGTCGGTGTAGGTATGACGAACATTACAACTTTCTGAGGTAATGTCACTTCAAGTGATTTCAAGTGGGAAGGACAGAGAGGACGGTGGGGGGGGGGGGGGGTCGGGTCGGGTCGGGCGTCGGCTGACTTGAGCTGCGGCCGTCCTCACCTTGAGCAGCAGGAACTTGTTGAGCGGGTCGTACCACTGCATGATGAACAGGCCGGCCGGCAGCGCGCCGCACAGGTAGTTGTAGCCGTTGTACGGGTTCCTAGCCACGCAGCAGCGCTCGCAGCCCTTTGTGTCGGGCACCTGTGCACGGGCACGGGCGCAGCCACCGGCCGGTCAGCAGCCACACCCTGCCACCAGTTGTTCTGCTATTGTCAAATCAACATTCTTTTGGGAAACCCCCTAACGCAAAGGTCGCATTTAGCCCACGGCAAGTGCCCCCACCCCCGCCACCCTGTTTCCCAGCCCACCCACCTTGGTGGTCATGGCGAACTTCCTGGGCACCAGTTTCTCCGGTATCCTGTTGACGCTGAGGGAGAACCGGTTGAACTGCCGACTGTGCAGCGCTAGCAGGTCGTGACGGTACAGACAGGGACTCTTCAGACCTGGCGGCCGGCCGGGTACCGTCACCGCACCGCACGCGGCCGGCAGCAGCACCGCGCGACACACATCACACGCATCACGTGCCATCTTAGTGCGCAAGGCCCGAAGCCTATTGTCCGATCGCGCAATTACGGACAACGAAAAAGTTTCAAGTTCAACGGGTCCACCAAAGTCGGACACGGCCTGTTCCTTTCAACTGACTTCAACTAGCTGCGGCTGCTCCCACCAACCGCCGATCCCCGTCAGGAGTTATCGAGCGCCGGAGCGTGTCGAACCCGGGCTCTCACCACTGCACCGTTAGGGAGCTCAAAGCAAATTGTTCGATGACACAAGGCGTCGATGCCTCCTGCAGGGCCAAATCAGCTAACTAAGGTGCGCTGATGGTCGTGTTGCTTACATGGCAGCAATGAATGTTATCACTGTTACACCGCGCTATTTCGGAGTTGAGTATCACGAACCTCTCCAGATTCAAGAGTGCGGTCCCAATTTCGCAGGTTATAGCCACTGGCCGAATAAGGCCCGTTACCCTCAACGAGTCGTCGATAAATCATATGCAGCGCACGATCATGATTTTTCTAGCTGTATGGACACCAGTATTTTACTAGCAGATTGCAACATTGCAAGGCATTTCAAGCGTAACCAGCTGCAGTTAGGTGAGGGCTGGAGACAACACACCAGGTGTAATGATCCAGGCAAAATCAAATACACGCTGACACACGCCTGTCTATGCAGACGGTCATTTGTTTTCTGTGTGGGGAGGTGCTTCGTTTAACCCGCGCCCCGCTGGGCCATACGCGCCCTGCTGGGGGGGGGGGGGGCAGATTCTGCCCCCGTGTCTAACTTCCGAACCGATGGTCGTGGAAAGACGGGGAAAACGGCAATCGAAAGCTCTCAACAAGGCGGATCTTAAGAGCCCAATTTTTTTTGCTTAAGTAGGTCAGAGGTCAGGTCAAGGTCAAGTCAAGGGTACAAAATGCAAGTTTCTACAGTATCGGCCTTGCACCGTAGTTGCCGAAGAATGGACTGTGACTGAAGGCCCAAAACGTGTTCTTAGACTACCAAGACAATATTCGTTGCATACAATGTCATTCAAAGGTCAAGGTCAAGGTCAGGTCAGGTCAGGTCAGGTCACCAAAAACAAAATATAGAAAAGGCCATGAGCGACACATGTTTTATGAGTCATTTTACTCATAGAATTCAATAGGCACACTCAATAAGTGATATGGACCACCTTTGGATGAATTTCAGGTCGAGGTCAGGTCAAGGTCAGGTCAAGTGAGGTCAAATTTTGAAGGTGGTTGTTAAGGCCTAAAAAGGTGTCTATCTGATGCAGTTTTTCACGGCGAATCGAATGGTGCTATTTTTGTTTCCGTACGAAGTCTAGAACTTCCAAAAAAAAATCATTTTTCAAAAATTTTGTGTGTCGTGACGTCATAAAATTTTGAATAACTCCCACATTTTTGAACCGATTCTTCTAAAAATTGGTATGTAGGTGCACATAGACCACTTCTCTGACATATATTCCGGTTTTTTCGATACACTCAAAATTTTGGATTTTATAATTATTTTTCCAAAAGTCAGTTTTTTTAAAGAAAAAAAAATTGGGCCAAAATCCACAATTTTGAAAAAACGAGATAGCCATTTGATAGACAAAGTAGAATCACGTATAACCTTTTTTGTTACGTCTTGATTCCTTTAAAAATGAAGATGTTAGCGGCGTTTGAAATTTTGCCGTTTTTTAGGAGAAAATGGCGAACATGACGTCACTAAAACGCCAATTTCTCAAAAATTTTCCGACGGAGTTCGCTCAAATTTTCAGGAAACGTGTCAAATTGATGTATGATAAGGTACTGAAAGTTTGACGTCGCTGGCGTAACGCGTTTAGAAGTTATTGGCGAAAAACGGGAGGGGGGCAGATTCTGCCCCCCCCCCAGCGGGGCGCGGGTTAACGCGGCTGTAACTAGGGCTGTGCCGGACTCCCTCACACGGCAAAACCATCGTATTGGGGTAGATCGCGGACTGTAAAATAATGAGCATACCTATCCACTGTCATTGCGACGCACGGCAGCAGCGTCACACGATCGTATTAAAGGTAGTGTGCCACCTTTGAAAGATTTCCCATTTTATTTTTCCTAGGATAAGAAGCTTCTGTTTTTACCTAATATCGCAAAAAAAAATCAAAAATGGGCCTGGAATAGTGCCTTTTTCGCCTAAAAGTTTTTCGGTTTTTAGATATGTATAACAACTGTAGTGGGCTCACCTGCAAACAGGCGTCGGGCAACAATCGCGAATGCGGCGCACTTGTGACAATAAGCAAAGGTCATTATAGTGTTACGACCATACGACGTACGGGAATGAGTTATCAGCTGTCTAATCGCAGACAACACAATGTCGAGCCTTAAACTGTAAGCCCGTATTGGTATTGTTTCTTTTATTTGGCTGTCGAACATTATTTATGGTTTGAAATATGATTTTATGTAAAATAATTGATATGAAAAAGCCGTCTTATAAGTTATGACCCCATTTCACCACACGCAAGTGGCAGAAATGACAATGATCAGCTGACGCATTTTTCTTGGCCGAAGTCAGAGCGCGCGGCCCGACGCACCACGCGAATTTGGAAATTCCGACCTCGACGAGCATCAGAAGCCACCTAACAGGCGTGTTCGAAACCGCAGGAGATGATGATGAACGGGTTTATCGAAACTTGATTGGATGAGCATATCGGTAATAGCGATTTCAGTGTGTGCATTTATTGTTCATAGTGGTGTGAAATGTGGTTGGGGTACGACCGACAACCCGTCGGGGCGAATTTCGCACTGGGGTACTCAAAATTTGAAGAATTTAAGACGTTTCCATGAGTTTTGAAGGTATGGATAAGTTCTAAAAATCCGGTTCTCCTTATCTGGGCCATTAACTCCATACGGTCCAAGAAAGCTGGCACACTACCTTTAAGGTGGGGCGCGGCCTATGCAGAATACACCTTTGGTCGTACTGGGATGGAGCGCGGCCTACGCTGGGTACACCTATCCACTGTCGGCTGCCGGTACTGCGAGCCATGCTCGGCCTCCTCGTGGGTCCGCCTTCACATGGTGGGAGGCGCGGGCCTTCGGATCCGTTCCCGCTGGAGCGACCAGAGGAGGAATCCAAACAGAACCAAACCACCCTCTACGAGAGGGACCTGTGAGCGGCTTCCCGCCGTCCGCATGCTGCTTTACATCTCCACTACCCACTCGACTCCGAGATCTTCACTCTACTCAACGCGCCGGGGCTGCGTATGCCCCTGCAGGTCCAGAGCCGCGTCGCACGCGGCCGGACCTGCTGAATGAGTAGCCCTACGGCCGCGCCCCTCTCCGTGAGCACCGTCGGAGGGGGTGCCCATCAGGGGGCCCAAAGAGGGCAACAGCGCAGGAGAGCAATAAACCGCCGCCATCGCCGCAACCGAACAAAACGCAGTCTCCTCCACATGGTTGGAACGCTGAGGGGCTCCGGGCAAAGGTCCCGGAACTCCAAAGCTGGCTCCCGTCGGTCAGCGCGGACGTGGTGGCCATGCAACCGGTCCAGCTCTCCTCCAACCAGATGGTTCGCATCCCGGGCTTCCATCCACCGGTCATCACCAGAAGAGAGCGCGGCAGACAACTTGGTGCTGCGACCGCAAAGGGCGGAGACGTAGTCATATGCGTCCGTGGTGGAATCCCGTTCACCCCTCTGATCGGCCGCCCACTCGCCCCTCAGACGACAGTACTGAGCTGTGTGGCGTGCGCATCCTCTGCAAAGCACCGATTACTATCATCGACATCTACCGGCCGCCCACCCGCCGCACACAAGACGACGATCCGGAAGACCACTTCGATCCGGGAGCCCCTCCCCCTCCGGTAATGCCATCGTCCTGGGATACATCAACACCCACCAACCGCTCTGGAACACCGGGTATGACGCAGCTGACGGCGTCGGGGATCGAGTGGCTGACTGGCTCGACAGTTGGCTGGTCGCCGCTCAACTCATTGGAGTCGACCCATTCAGCTACCGGTCTGGTGGGAGCACGGTACCCGACGTGGTACTCTGCAGTCGCACCCTCGCCCGGAGGCCGACCTGGTGTGTGGGACCGGACCAAGGTAGCGAACACCTACCCATACTGATCAGCACAAGGACCACTCCTCGGGAGGAGCCGAGTACGCGAAAGCCATAATGGTCCTTCGGGAAGGCCGACTGGGTGGCGTTCAAGGCGGACTACGAGACGACCCTTCTTAGAGCGGAGCCTCTGCAAGCCAACGCTCAAGAGCTCACCACCTGGCTCATAGATGCCATCCTGTCAGCAAGCCGCAAACATATCCCCCGCGGCGCGAGGAGGGACGCGAAGCCCTAGGCACTGGACCCCGAGCTACTCCAAGCCGTGGCGGAGCGCCGAGAGGCGCAATGGGCACTCCGACCCAACGACCCTGCCTTCAGAGACCGCCGGGTGGTGGCGAAGCGGCGTGCGGCTGAAACTGAGAAGCGAGTCTCACAAGCCCACTTCCGGAACTTTGTCAAGACCACCCTCAACAAACCCGGATGTTTGGGCAGTGTCACAAAGATCCTGAAGGAGTGGGAAGGTGCCAGCGACGGACATCGGCCAGGGCGGGCGATCACGGAAAGCGGCCGCCTCCTGGTCACGGACAGCGAGAAGGCGGAGGCGCTCAACGCGCGTACGCCCACGTTTCGCGCCAAAGTAGGTCGGCCAATGTGGAGAGAGCGACAAAAAGGAGACTACGCGAGCTCCAGTCCCCGCAATGCAAGGAGTGCGGTAGCCACCGCACCGGCTGCTGCGCGGCATCCTCCGAGTCGGAACTCGCTCATCAGCTCTAACGCCTCCAACACTGGAAAGCACCAGGCCCAGACGGCATCTGCAATGAGCACCCCACTCATCTCGGCCCCATCGTTTGCCGTGCGCTGCTCAGAGCCATCAACACGTCTTGGATGGAGAGCTCGGTACCGAGGGAGTGGAGACAAGCCCAAATCATTC